TAATATCAAAAATATGTAATAGCATTAATTATAAGAATCTCACCGAGAAGGAGAGCTGCTTCTTGATCTTCGGCGTTCTTTAGACTTTGAACGCTTTTTGAGTGGACTTTTGGATCTGCGTCTGTCCTTTTGACTAGAGAGTGATCTACCACGGGATCTACTCCTGTAGCAAGTAATTGTAAAGGCTAAATACTATAAATTATACTGGTTCTCTTCCTATGTTGCCTGCATATTTTTGCTTTTTTTAAAAAAAATTAGAACATTCACAAATTACTAAACAACATGAAAAGCCAAACAATATGTTCCAAAGCTAACTTCAAAGCAAAAGGCAAGTGAAATGTAGTTATTTTATGAATAATGATTACAAATTATGATAATCTTAGAATTTATCAGTTTACAAAAAGGGCTATAAAATTCTTCCAAAAATACAACATTCACAGCCAGTTCAAAGCATTTGAATTTAGCATTAATTATACATTGTAACACCCCTATGTTTCCCATTTTGGGAAGGGGGAGCAAGGGAACAGAAATTGACCTGCGAAGCTTATTTGTATGCAATAAAATTATGCCAATTTTAGCAATAATCTTTACAGGTAGGATTGGGGAGAACCTAGGCTGCCTAATCCATCATAGGAGAAAGTTCAATCATAAGAGCAAGAATGTGCATTCACAGATAAGGAACGACTTTAAGAAATACATTTACTCATTAATACTTTATGTTTTTAGTAAGGTCTTAAAATTTCTGTATATATTATTGGGTGTAGAAAAATGGCTGAAGATAAATATGAATATTAAATATGTGACACTTTCTTGGGATGAATGCTAGGGATCAAGACAGATATTTTTCATAACAATATTTCTAACAATAGTATAATGGAAGCATTTTGGTATACTCATACACAACTTCCTCATAATGTATCATTATGTTTGTGAAGTCTACGTCTAAAGAATTATTGGATTTAAAAAAGCATTATATTTTATTATTACTTCACAGGTTTTTTTACAGCCATTTTACTTTTTAATCTTGAGACACTTTTTATTTTTTACTGTTTTTATTTTCTGTAACATTGTTTTTTCTATTATACTATACAATGCACTACAATAAAATATTGATGCACAAAGAAGGCTCAATCTCATCTTGATCCTCCTTGGTAGAGTCTCCCTCCTAACAATCAAAAACTGAAAGTCCCATTTGTCATCTAAATCAGTGCATTTTGATTTGACTTTTAAACCTGACTGAGTTTGTAGAAATGTGTGTGTGTGCACGCGCGCGCGCAGTCTTAGCACATTGGCAAGCAACAAGCAAGGAATTCTAATCTGAATAAGAGCAAAGTTCCCAGTTCAGAATACTATAATGATGTCTAAGAAGAACTGCAAGCTTATCACCCATTGTGATAAGCCAGGATTCTTTGAAATTTTATTCTTGGCCACCATTAAACTTAATTTAGCCACAAATTAAGAGAAAGTTAATATATTTGCCTTGCATGTGAAAAATATTAAATTTCACATGCAAATATAATTTAGGTATCACCTCAGGGCAACATGAAAATCTGAAAATTCATGCCATAATTTAATAGTTTCTTAAACTGAACAAAATGATGTCAAAACACAGGTTCAGCTATATCACAGCAATTCTTGTAACCCTTGCTGACTAAATCTTTGGTTTATTGGACCAGCAACAGAAGTGGCAGCAGCTGAGGATGTTTTCATGTGTGCAACCCAATCCCACACATGCGCAAATAAAGCTTTGTGCGCTCGCCTACCGTTTGTGCGGCCCAGTTCCCATCGAGCCACAGCTGGGTATTGGAGACACCTGCCTTAGCTGACATGGGGGAAATTCACTATAGATCTCAGAGAAGTAGAACACTTACCTGAGTTTTGAGTGTGATCTTTTCCTTCGAGATTTTGAACTAGATCTGGATTCTGAACGTGAATGGGAACGCGATCGACCATCTTTTCTTTCACTGCTCTTTCCAGACTCTGAGAGAAAAAACGACTTTGCAGTGTAAGCTCAGAATATTTAAAGATCCCAGCTAACAATCTGGCACAAGTGGAATGTACCACATATATTGCAAGGGGCCTACTCTCTGCACATCTTCCTTCTTTGTAAAAATCCTTCAGAAACATCCAAGAAAGTCATTGCATATATTCGTTGAGTGCAGCCATCCTGCAGCAGTACACATAAACCAGATAATTATAAACAGCTAGCTAAATAAGGAATGGGATTTGTTGCTGCCACAATGCACAAGATTAAAACATCTTTGGTAAAATTGATTTCAGACAGAAAACATACAAAATCTGATAGAATTTTGAAAAGATATGCAGAAATGCACATGAATAGCACTGGAATTTTATTGTCAAAGCATTGCTATAATTAAGTAGTTAATCCTCAAATCTTTAAGAACATAATGGACTCATCCTGTAAGAAAGGCAATAATTCTAGAACCAGTCAAGAAAATAAAATTTTGTTCATTCAGTTTTTATAATAAAATGAAATGATAGACTGATTCATAATACATGTCCTTTAATATTCTACAAACTTAGTTAAATGGGTATGGTGCTTAAGGTCTTTTTTTTTTACATTATTTGTTGAAAATGGACTGACTAGATGTTAGCAACATCAAGAAAAACTACCAAAATAATCTGTATTATGTTTTCTGTCATTTTTAAAGGTAATCACATTTCATTCAAGTAAGGAAAACAAGAATGCTAATGTTCAGAATTTCTTTTTCTTTGTAAGGTACTTAAGAAAAATTTATGGTCTGATATTTGTTTCTTACATAATCTACCAACTACTTCAGTAACTTTCATTACAAAATCAAGTTATCTCTAGATTTTGCCTGTCAGTTGTTTTCTGATGTTGTGGTAAATAACTAATTTTAACTGCACAGATTATCTTAGCAGTTTTTATAAAGGTGAATGCTGAACAGTTTAGCTCAGGTGCAGTTTTCCCAGTCCAATAATGCTAGTTTTGACCTTTTTTCCTAATTATCATAATTTTCTGACGATTCTGGGTATTATAACTACTTCAATAAATTTAGACGTGTCCTCTAAACCCCAATACCTAAAAGTAAAAAAGCAGAGCAACTTAGCACCTTACTCATCTGCACTCAAACAAAACACTGATGCTCCCAAGAAAAGTTATACTTCAATCGAAAATAATGAAGCTGCAAATGATAATGAAAAAGAAAGGGGGAAAAGAAGAGTAATGGGTCAGGCAGTAAGAAGAATGAAATAGTATAGTATAGTCTTTATTGTCATTGTACAAAATAAACACAAAGAAATTGGTTGTAAAAACCTGAAAGAAGAATTAAGGAGACCATGGAACGAAAGATAGTTGGAAAGCTGTGAGGAGTTGGGCCAACAAAATAGTACTTTAAAAAAAAACTATTAGAAATTATCCAATAGTTTGACATAGAAAAACCAGTGCTATCAGGTACCTTAGCTGCACATTCTTGACTATAAAGTACTAAACCACTCATCAAAATTACTGAGTCCACCAAAGAATTCTGCCCAGGATAGCCTCTCCCTGTTTCCTAGAGGAAAAAAATGTTCCACCAAACATACATGCCAGGAGTTGCAGGGCAAGGAGAAGCCTACCTGGCTCAATAGCAGCGGATATAAAAGACTGAGCTTCCCGTACTCTCTTCATCACTTCCTCCAACTCCTTTGCAGCAGCTTGTGGTGTCATTTCAGGTGGCTTCACTATTGCATTATTGGAGTGGTTTATTCTAAATTAAACCACAGATTGTATTGAGTTATTTCACTGCATGTATGCATATGTTTCATTCTATCTTTTTTTTTTTTTGTGCCATTGAATAAAATGGACGGATGTTATTTATTAGCTCACACGGATGGTTTGGATTAGACTTTAAAACAATGAATTTGACAGATAAAACTACTGATCTTTTTATCTTTTTATTCCCTGAGGAATAATCAGTCCTTTTCTTTGCATATTGTGATATGGAGGGGGAGTTAAATCTATCAGAGATACATTTTACATAAAAGCCTATAAAGGTAAAGATTTTTCTGTCCTGTCATGTCCAACTCTAGGACACGATGCTCATCTTGGTTTCTTAGCCAAGGGAGCCAGCATTGTCCAAAGATCTTTTTTGTGGTCATGTGGCCAACATGGCTATACACCAAAGTCATATTGAATACCGTTACCTTCCCACCAAAGTAATACCTATTTATTTGCTCGCATTTTGCATGCTTTCAAACTGCTTTGTGGGCAGGAACTGGTGTAGGAACAGGAGCTCATCCTGTTGCACAGCACTCAGGTCTCAAACCCAGGCTGTTGGATTTCCAGCTGACAAGCTCAGCATCTTTAACTGCTGAGCCATTGCTCCCCTCTCCTGCCCTCATGAAAGCCTATTGCTTTTAGTAATTTTATCCTGCCTATTCCTCATCTCAGCTAATGAGACAGAAAACTAATTTGAAAAACATTGTCCAAGAAAAACTTGAGACCTGCTAGTACAGGGGTGTCAAACTCAATTTCATTGAGGACCACATCAGGGCTGACCTCGGGGTGGTGGTGGTGGCCAACTAAGTGGGCGTGGACATCTTGACGCCACTCCCCAAACTGCTGGCATGTTTCCTCTTCGCACTGGTCTGAAGCCAAGCTGGCCTGATGTTTCATCTTCCCATTGGGTAGACCAGGCCAAAGCAACGCGGGCTGGCCCCTTACATTTTCCAGGACAGCCCTGTGAGCCATATTTGGGCACATTGCAGGCCGAATCCAGCCCATGGGCCTTGTGTTTGATACCCCTGTGCTAGTAAAATACCCCCCTTGAACTCAGATGTTTTTCTTCTTCCCCTTTTTGTCAAATCATAGTCCCATAACTCCTTAACTCCTTCCATCACTTTCTCACTTCTAATTCTTTTGTTGCATTATTGCTCCTAAGTCTCCTCTTCTCTCCATCTTCTTATTTTCCTAAGAATGCATCTGAAACCCAGAGGCATTTTGACTATCAAGATACAATTTAGTTTCAACTAACTGTTTCCTTTTGATGAAATCCAAACAAAATATTAGATCAGCATACCATTTTAATTTTATTAGCTATTAAGAGAACACTTCCTGAATGTAAAAAAAGAATGTGGGAATGATGTTTACGGCAAGTTGCTTACCCTTATACATATAAGATGAAACAAAAATAAAGCCTTTAAGCTGCATCTTATCTGATTTTTCAAAATATGCCTTCAACCTCTAAATTAAAATAAGCTCTAAATTTTACAGCATTTAATATGGTGCTTTCCAGAGAGATTACAATTTCCAAGACTCTCAAATCAATACAGTGAATTGTTTAAGGTCTCTAGCACAGAACAGGACCTATCAATATAGTACAGAATTGTGTCTCAATTCCACCAGCTGCCTTTATGAAAATATAATATATACATAGTGGGAATGTTCTCTCAGATTTTCATAAAAGCATCTTTCCATTCATATTTTATGAAATACTTCTAGTTCTACATGACAAGAATGTACTGCAACTTCCTACAGGCCAGCTCTGTGCTAAATCCCCAACTTATCCATGGCTTCTGTCCAAACGTTTATTACCTAATTATAGTAAATGTATCACTTGTTTCATTTGGAGTAAAGTAAATGAGTTACCAATAAAAACATTTGCATTTTTCCCATAGACCTACAGCAGATCTATTTGTTAAGTATGTGCAATATATTGCTTAAGGAAACCCAAATTTTGTGAGAATGCATACAAATGTATGAAGAATATGTATGCATTATGCTAGAAATAGGCAAACTAATACTCTCCAGTTGTTTTGGACTACAACTCTTACAAACTCTTTCCATTCTGGCTAATGTTGATAAAAATTTATTATAAAAGTGTGTTTTTCTTACTTCAATGGTCTGTCTCCAAACACAACTCCATTAAAGGCAAGAGCTCTAGGTACAGAATTCTGGTCAGCAAATTCCACAAAGGCAAAGCGTGTTGGCTGGGTTTCGTCACCTGCCATCCGCACAAACTTCACTTCTCCAACTTGCTTGAAAAACTCAAGCAACTGATCAGCTGTTGTAGTCTGAAAGGGGGGGGGGGAAGCAAACAACTCAAATTAAAAATAACTTGCAAACTTATTTCTCATTCTGTTTATTTGGAATCACGCCAACTACAATGTTTATTTCTGTCACCAAAATGAAAACTATTCCTACATCTTGAACACCAAGTTTAATAGCAAGAAATAATACTTTTATTTCCATGATTTCCTGTTTAAATTTATCTGATTTATAAGCATGAAATTTTCTGTTTGTTTAGCCCAAAAGGAAATGACAACAATGATTATTGGATAAATATCTCTTTTAAAAATATTAATATACATATAATGCAAAGATGCCCATGCTTTGGATCATTATCCTCAGAGATCAGATTGGGTCCAACTTTGTCAGTCTATCCTTAAAAACTTGCTTTGCCCCTGGATTTAGGGGTGAGGACATGGAGCTAAGGCCAGGCATTGGTTATGTTAATCTGCATCTCTTTTTAACCCAGCTGTTGTTTTATATGTTCCATTTTTTGTTTTTTTCTGGGTTTTTGTATTTTTTTAATGCTGCTAACCAAATCATGAATTTGAGATGGGCAGCCATGTAAATTAAAATAATAGATACATGAAAGAGTATTATATTGGTGCGTTATTAGAGCTGCTCCTTAGCAACAGCAGTTCTGGCAGCCATCAATAAACCATATGAATCATAAAGCAAAGATCTCATATCACGGTGACTTCTGACATAACAGATTTCCCAGACTTTGCTTGTGTGAAAGATTAAGGTAATTGGATTCTCTGATGGAGAGAATGGAGCAAACAACAGCAATTTATAATACACAGCTACCCTTTTTATTAATATATTCCTCTGCAACAGAAATGTTTACCTGGGAATTCAAGTTTCCCACATATACAGTCCTTCTAATTTCATCAATCTTGGAAGGATCCACATTGCCCATAATGGGTGGCTGGGGTATGTCTCCAATGGCTGTAATGTTATGATCCAATGCTGTTGCTGGTATAGCTCCTAGTGGACCAAGGGAAATTCCTATCTGTAAGTAGAGAATATAGAAACAAGCATGGGGTCTTTCGTCTGTTTTGAATAATAAAAAAATATTTTAAACTGATTTAAAAATTATCTGAAAACACTATAAAAGTACATTTTCAGTTTTAAAACAGAATAATTCCTTGAAATTCCAGGCAATAAGGCAATATTCTTAGCAGAAAAGCATGTACAAAGATTCAATAATTGGAGTACTGCAAAGATGCCTCAAAAAAAGCAAAAGAATATTTTCTAATAAGTTAGAATGGAGCCGAGGTGGCGCAGTGATTAGGGTGCAGTACTGCAGGCCACTTCAGCTGACTGTTATCTGCAGTTCAGTGGTTCAAATCTCACCGGATCAAGGTTGACTCAGCCTTCCAACCTTCCGAGGTGGGTGAAATGAGGACCCAGACTGTGGGGGCAATTTGCTGGCTCAATTTGCTAAAAATCTGTAAACCGCTTAGAGAGGGCTGAAAGCCCTATGAAGCAGTATATAAGTCTAATTAATAAATAATAATAAATAAAATAAAAAATTTGGACATGTGATGTGACACCCAGAAAAATACGGCATCCTTCACTTAATCCTCCAGGGAGAGACTGAAGGCAAACGAGGTCCAGACAGAAGAAGAACATCATGGCTTCAAAATCTAAGGGACTGGTTTGGACAAAACTCAACAGCACTTTTTCATACGGCTGTTGACAAAAATAGGATTGCCAACCTGATCGCTAATGTCAGATGACGGATATGGCACAAGAAGAAAGATGCCTCAGTCCTTTTAAAACCAGAAACTCTTAACACCTTTCTATGCAAGACTCTACCAATCTTTAATGCTTTAACATTATTTTTTCTTGCTATTTTCTCTGGTCTTCTTTGCTAATATAGGCTTTTGATAAAAGTCTAAATCTTACTATGTTAAGAATTTTGGTTTAGCCTAATAATTGCCCATCTTACTTTGGATTTTAACTAATTACACATTAGATTTTGTCAAAGTCATCCCTCTCACAGGCCATTTACTAAAAATGTAACTGACTCAGCTGCATTATTACATCCAGCATTACTTACTGAATTCACAGGAGGCGTTGGTATAGGAAGCAATCCTCCACCAGGAATCAGGCTTGTAATTGTTGGAGCAGGAGCCAAGAGAGAGAGGGCTTTGGCTTCATCTGGGATTTTACCTGAAGAGCAAAATGGTTTTGTTATCAAAAGTAAGGCCACCTTTCAAATTTTACTCTTCTATTTACTATTTCCCTTCAACTTAAATATAGTAAAGAAAAAAAAACTACAACAGCCTTTAAAAAAAAGCAAAACAACACACGTCTTCCTTTCCCCTACTCCACTAGGAACAGTAAGTGAGCAAAACTATAATCTCATTACCAGATTTTTACTTTAAAAACTGAACAATGAGTAGATAATTATTTAACACTTTGAGCTATGGGTCACCTGTACTGGAAACTTAATGTTCATGAACCAAACGATATCAAGCATGGACGCTTTCGCAGGACGTTGTTTCACGGTGATCGAAAGGTGTGTTACACATGACAACCGTTCGTGTTGGCTGCATCACTAATAGCACACAGAACATCAGATACAGAAAAGAAGAACATTTTTTAAAGTTTAATCCCCAGAAATGGCAAATAACCAAATCAGTCAAAAAGAAAAAAGAGGAAACAGGAGTGTGCTAAGCAAAAACTGGGCTTTTCTTCTGCTGAAAGTGGCTGTGAAAAATATTGCCAGTTGATCACCAGTTGTCAATTTGGTACAACAAATCAAGCAAGGCAAGGAAGGTAACGATTCATAGTGTAAGTACTTTGACCTAACAAGGCTCACAGCTCTGTAGCATTATGAGGGATAGTGTAATCTAGTCTTTACAAAAATATTTACTTGATCACTGGCATGTTTGTTACATCTGCATAATGTCAGTGCAACTGATCTACTGTTGTTTTTACAAGATGACAAGGAGATTCTGTCTCTTGCTATATATATATTCAGGGAACAAGGCTTACCTTCAGAAAATTGCTCAAGTTCTTAACTCAGAAATGTTAGGGATTGAAAATTAGGATAAAAATACTTTAAATAATTAAATAAAAATTACTTTACACTAACCATGGTTATCCATATTTGAATAATTTGATTGAATTGATCTTTACTAAAAATGTACTTTAAGGATAATCAATTTATACTATTCTTTAAGATGCTTTACAGCGGCTAACTACTACTGTTTGGTTATGCCCAAACAGCCTAAATGTAAATATTTTAAACACAGGACTACTAAAAGGATTAGTTCCTAATCTATCCAGAAATTAGACTGCAGATGGCAAAGTACTCTGCCAAGAAGCCACCACTGTCTGAAGTAACTGTTACTTATTAGAGCACGCACAAGAATTTAAGTCAATCTGGCCTCATAAAGCATCAATTATCTAGAATTATAATAGCATTTATAGTAAGAAAAACACACAGAATTTTTTATTTTAAAATCCTCACCAACTAATCTACTAACGCTGTAATATTCCATTAAAAAAGCCACAGATATAATGTAGATAACCACACTTATCTCCATATTAAGCTCAAAAAAAGGTTATTCCACTTCAAAAAGGGGAAGATGTTTCTGATGCTAAAAATTTACCTGAAGATCTATATTAAACATCCTGACAATTTGAGTTTGGAAGGATATTATTTAAAACTTTTTATATATATGTTGAAACACTGCAAACTTTGACTGAAAGATTAAACCAGCTACATAAAAACCATATTATAGTTCCACTTGGATTTAATGGATTTAAAAATAAGAGGATCTTGACTGAAATAGTAAGTGGACTGCATTTAAATTAAAATATTTCAAACCCAATTTCCTATCGTTCTATAGGCCCATAGAGTTCAAGTGCACATTCTAAAATAAATGCTTATAAACTGCAGTCTTCCATGACCATATCTAATTGGGATTTTTCCTACTAATGGAAGACATTTAATCCAATCGAGGCATCCAACAGTGAAAAAGGGAAGTAACTAATTTTCAATTATTTTCCTCTCCCCTGTAAATTTCCTCATTCCTGGAAGCAGCATGGGAAATCATACAGAGAAGTGAAAAGTCATAAAGTAACTTCCCTCACTTAATTGAGAAACTTTTGATCAGTGGGTGGCCACCAAGTATATGTAACAGATAGCAATTTATAGTAAACACTGAACTTTCTAACCTATCATACCTACATCTAACTAATTTACTAGAAAACAAGCCTTCTTTTAAAAAGCAACAAAATGAATATCTCTCTTCAAAACTAAAGAAAATAAAATAATTTTTGAAGATCTGCTAAACAGAGACTTACATCAAGAAAGGGCCCAACTGTACCTCACTGAACTTGTGCAAGAGCAAAGTTTTAATTCAGTAAATTATTCCAGACTAAATATCACTGTACGTTTTCAGTAATCATAAAAAGGTAAGAATGAAAATTCATAAAAATTTATTTCAATAGTTATTTTTGCAAAAGACATCCCCATGCATAGGATTCCTTAATTGCGCGACACAGCACTGGTGATGGCTCAAATGACACTTAAAAGCAATGATGTAAAAGCATGGACATGCACAAATGGTTTTTACTCAGAACTAGACTATGTCATTTAAAACTGATTAATAACTCTTAACTACTACATCAATCTGTAATTTAATTATTTTTAATTTTTTAAATTTTGTTTGTACAAACATCACATCTTTGCAACACATTACATTTTTTACATTATCTGTTGTGATTCTTTTATCAATACAAATAAATCTTTTATAACTCTGCACTTACATTATTTCATACATTTTTTTCATTCTATATATAATATTCTATATATTCTATGCATAACAGTTTTTACTACATTTAAGTCATTTTGTATATTTATTTGTTATAGTCTATCTCTATCTTTTAATCATTTTCCGGTTTTGTAGTTGTCTATTGATTTGTTGATCTTTCTTTTTTGCTTTCTTGCTCCCCCTCCCTTCCTCTAGCCAATTGTACAATAAATCCCACAGAGTAATATTCAGATTCTTCTTTCTCTTTTAGTTCTTTCGTGAGCCTATCCATCTCTGCACATTCCAATATTTTTTTATTATATTTTCTTCTGTTGGTGTATAATTATTTTTCCAGTTTTGTGCAAATGTAATTCTCACTGCCGTAATTATGTGTAAAATGAAGTATCTAATATTTTTTTCATAATTTCCTTTTATAATTCCTAACAAAAATAATTCAGGTTTTAGTGCAATTTGGTGTGTAGTAATCTCCTCTAGCCAATCTTTTTTCCCCAATACTTTTTCGCAAATGTGCATGTCCACCACATATGGTAGTACGTTCCATGTTGTTGGTTGCATTTCCAACAGATAGGTGAACACTCTGGGAACATTTTCACAATTCTCGCTGTGTGAGATGCCATCTGTAGAACATCTTGTAAATGTTCTCTCTATATGCCGTGGCCATCGTTAATTTGTAATTTTTTTCCCAATCCAATTCTATATTATACCCAAAATTTATCGCCCATGTTATCGTTTCTTTGTTTCTTCTTCCATTTTAAATTTTAATAAAGTGATGTTTTTTAATAAAAAAAAATTCCCTGTAAAATTTTATCCAGCTCTTGCGGCTCCTTATAAAATCCATCCCTTTCTCTGTGTTTTTTTAACTTGCCTGTATTTGTAAATAGGGCCACCAGCCTATATCTATTCCGTCGTCTTTCAATTCTTGCCTTGTTTTTAGTCTTTCTTGGTTGTCTAATATGTCTTTATATTTTATTATCTTGTTTATGTCCAATACATTAAGGTATATCAGAGCTTCCATGGTGGATAGCCAGATTGGGATTTTGTTGTAGCGTTTTTTGATTTTTAACCATATTTGTAGTAGAGCTTTTTTAATTAAATGTTTTTGGAAATAGCTATGAATTTTGTCTTTCCCATCGCAGATAAAAGCATGCCAACCCAGTTCCAAATTATGACCTTCTATTGTTAGTAATCTTCTGTTTTTTAGACTGATCCAGTCCCTTATCCAGGTGAGAGCTGCTGCTTGATAATAAAGCTCCCAATTGGGAAGTCCAAATCCTCCTTTCTCTACTGTTCTGTAACAATTTTAATTTAATTCATGTTTTTTTTCCCTGACCAAATAAATGTGTACTTTAATTCTATTAGTTTAAAGCTTCTGTCAAAAGTTTCAGCCCCTTACTTTATATTTCTAAATAATTTGTAGCTTTAGTATAGATCCTGCTGATTCATTAGATAAACCAAAATTTCCAGTAGGGTTTACTGCTAATTATGTAATTCCCTATTTACTTAAAATTATCAGAGCACAGTAAAATATTTTTATTAAAGAAAAAAGATATGCAAAACTATGATAAAAGTTGCCAAAAATAATTGTGAACTCTCATCCCTGTTGTTCTTGAGAAGGTTCTGTAGAAAATATTCAAATTCTATTTGTCTGTTAATCCGAGACAGACTGTCATAAAAGTGATGCTTGTCACCTTCTCACAGAATGCTACAGTGAAGAGAAGACAATATACAAAACAAACACTGGTCAGCAGAGTTATTTTGAATATTCCCTAATTTTTTTTAGATTTTTTTTTAAATTAGTATATTGAATATAAAATTAAATAAATAGAAAACCTATTAGCCTTGAAATAACATTAGCCTTCTTGACATATATCACATTACCAATATGCTTATATGCCCTGCAGTTCAAATCTCAATGAGAAATTTCAACAGGCTTCAGCTAAAGCTTAGGCATGAAGGAAAACATTTGCTCAAATACATATTTTGAAAAGTAACAGAGAGGTTCAAGGTGGGGGCAGGGGGAGAAGAAAGTTTCTGAAGACATTACAGAAGAAATGAACACTTTAAAATTTAGTCCAGAGAAATCAATGCATAATATAGACACTTAATTATATGGAGATAATGTAAACAATTTTATCAGTTCATTTGATACTCAACATAGTCCTAATTAAGAAGACAGAAATTATTTCCACTGATTTCAAATTATCTAAACTTAGAATTGCACTTACAATTTAAATGTAAAGTCTAAATTGACTTTAGAATTATGTCAGCTCTTACTGACACAGTATTAGTTCCACAGAATAGACTTAAAATGAATCATGAATTCCTAAAACAGAACAGCATTTTTACAGAACTGAAAAACCAGTTCACAAATATAAACAAAAGAAT